ACACCAGGCAGGCCTTGAACTCCACCTGCCTCTGCTTCCCAAGTGCTGGGATTAAAGGTCTGTGCCACCATGCCAGCGCTGATTCCTGCCATTCAGATTCGAGCTCCCAGCCTATTCTGGAAGTGTGATTGGCTAGCAGTCACGACTGGAGAATTCTGAGAGTGCAAGTGGAGCAGGAACTGCCTGGGGCGGAAGAGACCTCAAGCAGCTCTGAGAAGGATGAGAACAGACTCCTGACAGGCAGCCTCAGTGAGACGCTCAGTTAATGGGAGAACAAATGCTACTTAAATCTTTCTGGGGATGGGTAGGGGCTTTTGTGGAAAGTGTACATCATTGGCCAGAGCTAAGGAACTGGGGATGCCTTATTTGTATAAGAAGGAATTCCAGATGCTGCTGGACATTACCTTGTAAGCAGGGGGATGTTGGAGGCAAGTTGTGTGCTGAAAGAGATGACAAATTTAAAGAAAAGCCTCATGATAAATGGAATAGAGGAACCATATCCTTTGGACAAGATCCCACCTCTCTAATCTTACAACCTGTGACAAGAAAATGCCTGATGAGCTTTGCTAGGCTTAAGAAACAACTTTAAGCAAATATAAATATAAGCATAAAGCAAATATAAGTTATACAATATAATATAGTTATATTATACAATAATATAATTATAATAAATATAATTAAAGTTCCAACAAACAGCAGATCTTGGCAACTATGGTCATGTGGTTATAGCTTTAGAGTCAAGAAGGATACATAAAAAAGGGTTGTGGACTCTTCCTCCAAGGTTAAGGAAAGCCACTGAGGCAAGGCATAGGGGAGAGGAATTGCCTTCCTGTAGAGCCAGAAGGAACATTGTATAAAGTTGCGGAGGTAAAACCTGAATTGAATTGAAGACCCCAAGATGTTGGAGATTCCAGAGCTATAGGGCGTTTGTCAAGGACAGCTGCTAACAAGAGTGGAAACAGCCCAAGACAGATGACCAAGGCTGGAAATGACCAAGGCTGGAAAGGAAGGCCCATCTCATAAGTCCTTTAACATCAGACATGGAAACAGAATTTGGAGTTTGCCCTGTTGAGTTTCGATATTAGTTTGGTTTGGTATTTTCTGATTATGCTCTTTGTCTTCCCTTTTAGAATGATAATGTATATTCTGTGCCATTGAATGTTGTAAATATGTGATCTGCTTTTTTGTTTTTATTTTAGAAGAGTTACAATTAAAACATTGCCAGGAGTCTCAGAAGAGACTTTGAATTTCTAGATTTTCAAACAGACTAAAGACCGAAAGACTTTGGGGACTTTTGGAGTTGGACAGAATGCATTTTGCATTATGATAAGTCTATGTGGCCATGGAGTGGAATGTGGCAGTTTGAGAATGGCCGCCATAGGCTCATAATGTACATGATTAGTCCCCAGGTGCTGAACTGTTTAGGAAGCATATGAGGCCTGGCCTTGTTGGAGGAAGTATGCCCTTATTGGAGGGGGTGTGTCACTGGCGGTAAGCATGGAGGTTTTCAAACCCCTGCAAGGCCCAACGTTTCTCCTTGTCATGTGGATCAGGATGTGAAGCTCTCAGATACTGCTCCAGCACCATGTCTGTCTTCTTCTTGCCATGATGATCAAGGACCAACCCTCTAAAACAATAAGCATGTTCTGAAGTTAAATGCTTCCTTTTATAGGCTGCCGTGGTCATGCTTTTCTTAGCAATAGAACAATAACTAAGGTAGAGGTTACTGAAATAGGCAAAAGAAAAACTTGAAAAAACTTTAAAAACTTTAAAAAAAGGAAAATTTAAATACTTAACTTCACATTGTTCCTATATTTTAAACTCTTTTTTTTCTTTTATTTTTCTTTTTAGTTACATTTTGTTAACTCTGTGTCCCAGCTGTATCCCGCTCCCTCATTCCCTCTATTTTAAACTCTTATTTAATTGACTCTGCATAATCCATGGAAATCAGATTTCAACAAAATAATTAAAGTGTAAAGTTTACATATATTTTGCATAAAATAAAACAGTATCACGTTACCTATGCTGGAATGTATATATATTTATATATATAGTGCCTCAATATTTAACTGTGCTGTCTTGAATTTCAAAGAGATTCATTCACTTGCTTTTTCCTTCTGAATTCTGAGATTTAAGAACTGCTCTCTAATCATTTATATTATGTTAGAGATATCTTTATACCAAAACCAGAGAAATCTAAAACTATACAACTAAAAAAAAAAAAAAAACAAAACAAAACAAAAAAAACCAAACAATTTCAAAATCAGAAAGGATCCTAAGAACTCAAGTACTGGTGGAAAAGTATCTGACTTTTATAATCTTAATGATCTTATGGCCTCAAGGGGGACTTGCTTGTTGTAATGTAAATCATCCCAGCCTCTTTGGAGATCAGCATGGTGATTCCTCCAAAATAAAGATAAAAGTAGATCAACCATATGACCCAGGTTACATGTCCACTGACATCTTTCAAAATTTCAGAGATGTGTAAGCATTAAGACTCATTATAATATTCACAATATGTAACTTGTATATACTAAGTGTTCATCAACAGTGATGTGTATAAAAGGAATGAAACGTATTCACAATGGAATGTTTTCAAGTACAAGGAAGAAAAATACATGCCAGTTGCCAAAAAAATTAAATGGATACAATAGAAGAAAATCCAATCATGCGCATTTTGTCTGAGGAAGACAAAAACAATGTTTTAATTTTTTAAATGTAGAACTGTTCATTTTTATATAAACACACACAGTTTATACCATAATATTTCACATATTTTAATTTTCTTCTACTCTGACATTTATTCAACTGATCAATGAAGTTTTACAAAGAGTAATCTTGTTTTGTCATGCATATGCTAAAACAAATTCTCACTGATTTACAATTTTATTTGCAAATGACAATTTCTATATCTAATGCAAATAATAAAGAACTATTTTCTTTTTGATTTAAAATAAGTAAAAATAGTATACAACAGGATAGAATGAGAGAAAAGCAGATAGGAAGAAGGGATGGATTTACCCAGTGTGGTGGCACATGTCTTTAATTCCAGCACTCAGGGAAAAGGCAGGTTTACAGAGTGGGTTCCAAGATATTCAGGTCTACAGAGACAGCCATTATCTCAAAAGGGGTGTATGTAGGATGGATGTAAATTTTTTCTTCTTCTTCCTCTTTCTCCCTGAGAACATCATCAGTCACACAGAGAGAATGCCTACTTCTTGGCCCACATCAGCTTCTTCAGCATGCAGAACAAATCCTTCCTCAAATTTTTGTTCCAGTAAATACGGATGGGTATAAAAATACCAGAGCATGAGTAAAAGTCTTTGCCACCACACTGTCTACAAAGGTGTAGGACAAGACCACTGTCAGAATGTTACTTATGCAATACTTACTAAAAAAAGAATAGAAATGACACCATAATTTTCACTGTTTTCACATTGACTCTAGTGCTCAAATCCTTAGGATAAATGTCCTGTAGTTTCATTCTCCTTTTGCAGCTCGATAGCAAGAGTATTAGAAGAAAAAAGCAAAATCAGACACACCAGGAAATGATAAGAATAAAGTTAATAAAAACATGATATGCTAAGAAAACATTTAGAGTCTCCATAAAATCAAGCATTAAGATTTTTTTTTAAACTTCTGACCATTCTTGCTTAAAGTTATTAGCCAATGTTCCCATGAAAATCAGAGATATAGTATTGCTATTGAGACAGTAACAGGAAGCACCTTGTTGATTCTTTGTCTCATCCACAGAAAAGAGAGATTCAATACATTGCCTATATTGAGGCAACAGAAGACACTGAGGCAGGTTATGCAAGCTCTGCAGCAAAAGTTGGATTCTGTCCAGAGGATTTACAATTTAAGAACACTCAGACTGAAAGGCTTTTCCTTAGCTTGCATCAAGAGAGATGCACACAGTTATTGTCCATAGAAATCCTATGTTCAGAAAGCCAAGCAGGTGAGAATACAGCCAACCGGGGAAATCTTGTGGAAGCCATCCCAGGGATTGCTGTTCAGCACTACATGAATACATTTGCAAAAGTCCCCATTGTGTTTTCTACAACTGAAACCACTATTAGCAAACCTCTGGAATAGTTGGCATGCTGACCATAATCTATGCCTTCCTTCATCACTGACTGTCATGTCCCAACTCCAGGAGTGTAGACAGGGCTATCCAAACCTGAGATATGGGATGAATGTTTTCCTTCCCTTTTGTCATGGTATTCAGAAAGTCCAGGAAACATGTTCCAAATGAAATCTTATTTAAACAGTAAAATCTATACCTGATATTTAAAGAATATTAATTTATGACTTTCAGGGCAAATTTTTTTCCTGGTGCTCTTGGCATTTGTACATATATGTATGTATATTATACACAAATTTTATGTTGACATTTGACATCAGGCTTTTAGTTGAATCTGGGGAGTCAAAATCAGATCCTCATGTTTGAATCAGTAAACCACTTTACTGATTCATCTTGCCAGGTACTAGAGCCTAGTTTTTAAAATACATGTGTGTATAGCTTTTGTAGTTTCATTGCTTATATTAAGCTTATTTAGATTTTTTAATTGACTTTCAAAACAATATGAGAAAGTATAAGGAATTGTTTCAGTGTGTGAAAATCTTGCTTATGCCTATAACGACGATTTGAGATAACTCACAAGTGGATAAAAGTTAAAATCTGTATTGTATTGCCATTACCTGTGTCTCACTATGCACCTCAGCCTGGATCCAACTATGAACGTTGCAGCCTACTTACTTTTTAGCTACGAGGCATATGTTATCATGCCTAGGCTACATTCATAAAATCTGATTCTGACATCTGTATTCAAGAACACATTGTTTTAGCCTTATTCTAAATTTCTGAGGGTTTTATCATGTATGGAAAAATCTCAAAAGCATGTTTTTTTAACGTTAATGCTTGCCCAGGGCTCTACCACTGAGTGGCTGCCATGTGACTAATAGCATGTTGTTTGGCTGCCTGATTGAACAGTGAGTTTCTAATGTTTTTGCCCATACCTCAGTCGTGTCACCACCAAAAGACAGGCTTGTCTTAAATTAGGATGTCCCAGAATCAAGATGAATGAGTGACCTGAAGGGTAGAAAAGTCCAACAGTTAGGCTAAACATATGATCTATTCCATTTTGATGCATCATAGGAATGAGTGATATAAAAAAGGATATGAAGTAAGTGGCATAGAGTAAAAGGAAGGAGACGATAATTCTCAAGGCATTCACATGGGCTTTGGTGCTGGAATCTTGTTCTCCTCTGGAACTAAGATGCATCTTCTGGAGATGTTTCCACAAAGAAAAGATTAGCAGGATGAAAGAGACTAGGGCCACCATGAATGGTATTACAGAGAACACAATCATCTCGAATAAAACCAGCTTTGAAAACCTCACAAACTCATTCGTTCTGGAACTCCAGGTCATATTTCTTTCATATTGATACATCCAATTGTCTAAATGTTTGCTTATTTGTAGTATGTTGAACAGCAAGAAGACCAAATTTCCCAGAAGTATCATCAGAAGCACTTTCCTTACTCTCCACTTCAGATAGAGAAAAGCAGGCGTGGAAAAGCTGGCTATTTTTAGCAAATAAAAAATGCCGAGGATGGTGGCAAGCCACAGAGTAAAGTGGTTGGAAACTACCCAGGTCAACATAATAACCCTTATTTCTATTCCAGCCACAAATAAAAATGAATTCTGCAGATATGTCAGCCACGCAAACAGCATTTCCCAAATCAAAATCATTCTGAAAATGGCCAAGAAGAGCAGGATCCAACTAACCAAGGAAAGGGTTCTTTTCCTGACCCAGTCAATGCAGTTTGTCAGCACTATGAATCCATTGCTCACGTTTCCGAATATAAACTCCACAACCATGAGAATAGTGAAGATGCTGATCAGGGTGCTTTCCATGTCCAGACAAAGAAGATTCACTGGTCATTTGCCAAGCTGAAATGACCCTGTATTCTCAAAAACGCATGCCTAAGCTTTCACTCAACTCACTGCTTCTTTTGTAATGACTGACCTAGTATTAATGAAAGTATTTAAACTTTGCCCTTGATTCTGTATGTTCTTGTGAAATCCTTCTCTCTGATCTCTATCAAGGCTAAAATATTTATATCCTTCTAGAGGGTGAAATGTGCAGAAGATCACGAAGTGCATCCAACTGGCATTTGCTAACATGCAAATAAAGGTATATTCTCTTTCACTATTTTGTCATTTTGCATTGTCTCTGCTGAAGAAAATTTGATTCTAGCAGCTTAAATTCTGAGGAACAAAGATGACAGTCGTATGAATCATCAGAAATTTAGCTAGGTGATCTATTTTTAGTCGATCAGCATCACTGCTGATGACTTAGAGACGTGCAGCTAGTGCTCTGTGGTATTTCGTGACTCCTCAGTTTTATATAGAGCTGTAGCTCCAACTTTTCGGCATTCGAGATGCAAGAAGCTCGTGTACAAAACCCCAGGCTTCTTTTGCCCCCTGTTACCACCCAGTGATGCTCGCCATTCCTAGGAGTCGCATGCTTTCCCATTTTATACACTTGCCATAGCATATACTTTTCTTTTTGAACATAAATGAAAAAAGACAAATGTAAACATATTTTCAATAGCTAATAGCACAGCATAAGACTGCAGACTATTGTCACAAAAGGAGGATTTTTAGTTCGGACTAGATCCTGGGGACAGGTGAGATGGTGTAGAGATTAATATCACTTGATGGTCTTGCAGAGGATCAAGGTTCAATTTCCTGCACCCACTTGGTGGCTCACAACCATCTGTAGCAGGGGTCCCAGAGAAACCAGTGACTTCTTTTGGCCTCCGTAGGCACTACATTCACTACATGCATGTCGTGAGCAAACTTCTATTTAGGAAAACACTGAACATATTTAAGATAAAAATAAATAAAAATCTCCACTTAAATATTTAATTATGGCACTTTTCTGCTTGACAGCTCTCGCAGTCTTAAATAATGCAATCTCTGTCTCTCTCCTATGGTCTCATCTCCCAGGGTTTCTCTCTGTGCCTCTGCCTAAATCATCTTGATGTTCTACACAGTTAGTTAATTCCAATATTAGCACCTTTGCTCCTTGCTGTTTCTATAGTATGGCTTCCTCATGGAAAGCATGGCTCATGTGCTCTGATGTGCAATTTACAAGTACTATATTCTCAATGGCTAGGTTCTACAACTACTTTATTTAAAAGAAGATTCGTATATGATATTATCAAAACTTAAAATAAAATAAGAACAATCAGGGAAAGTTTATTGTTACTTTTTTAGTGCATAGTATTAGTCTTCTGCATCAAGAGACAATAGTAGTTGATCATAGTGATATATAGTAATTATTTCACAACTTTGGACTCTAAGTGAAGATGGTGACTTCAAAATCAGCCTGGGTTACATAGTAAGATAAACAATCAATGAACAAAAACAAACTCTAGAAAGGTAAGGGATTGAAATATAGACCTACAAATATTGGGAACAGAATACAAAGATTCAGTGTTATAAATAGACCTAAATATCATTGATTTCTTTTCAATGAAGTGTAAGTAGAAACACTAGTAAAAGAGAATGTTTGTAGCAAATTATAGTGGGAAAATTTGATATCAGTATTTAAAAAAATTAATGTTATCTTGTATTTAAAAAACAAATACTAGTCTTCTTTTTATACTGCAAATAGAATGTTGGTTGTCAACTTAAATATAAAACCTAAAAACAAATATCTGAAAGGTCTGTCTGAGATTGTCTTCTTAATATAGATTGTCCATAAAATTTTATGGAACGTAAAGTTGTGTAAGAATTCATTACTGGGCTCTTCGAAAGACAAGCTAAATAAAATGGAAGAGTGAGCCACAGGCTGGGAGAAAATGAATCTTAGAAAACAAATGTATAAAGACCACTTAAAACAAAAGAAAAATGTCAAATGAAAGAGCAGGCAAGTCCACTGAAAACTATATTTGAAGACCAAACACCAAAAGAAATAGTCATCATTATTCTCTGTGGTGAAAATGCTAAGGAAATGAGTCCCTGGGTAAAATTGCTTCCTGTGGATACCTGGAGACGTGAACTTAGTCTCTTATAACGCATTTTAAGTAGCCCAGCACTGTGGCCCTTGTCTGTAACCCCAGTGTTTTGGACACGGAAACAGAAGATTTTTTGGCCATGCTGGCCCAGGCTGTCTGGATCTCCTAGCTCCAAGTTTAGGGAGACATACTTCTTTAAAATTGTATTGTTGCAAGTTACTTAAAAAAGACACACAGTGTCACCTCTGGAGTGCAGTGGAGATGACTCCTACATGGACGAAGGAAAGAAATGGCTCCATGAAGTTGTATGTTAACATCTGTATGCATGAAAGGCATATACCTCTGCCTACATGTGCACACATCAATCATGAATAAGAATGTATTACAATTAAGAAAATGTATTTAACATATATGTGTGTGTGTGTGTGTGTTAAATACAAGGATGGATGGAAGGAAAAATGACTCCATAGACTATAAAATGTTCTGCTCTGAAGAGGAGAGTGGTTTAGTTCCTAGCACACATCCTAGCTCACAGCATCTGTAACTCCAGGTATCCATAACTCAAGGGATCTGGAAGTGCTCCTAATCACTGCACATACATACATGCAGGCAAAACTTTCATATGAATAAAATAAAAGTAAATAAATATTTTAAAATAAAAGAAAGTATATTTACAGTATGATTTGACTTTTACCCAAAGTACAATGAAATAATGCATCAATAATTGACATATCCATGAAAACAGACATCAAATTCATTCATAATAGCTATTCTGTGTTTACCAGTAGAACCGTTCTTTCCTACAGATTGTTCAATACTACTCAGTAATGCCAGTCAGGACCCCTGATCTGTTGCACATTGTTAATGCAGACTGCAAAGCCAACGTACTGCAAGAATATTATGAACTGTTTGAGAGTACCTGCAAGTAACATTGCACGTCAAATGACAGCTAATGGAGGGTATTTCAGAAATTAAAAAAAAATTCTTTTCAGTTATCAAATATAGACAAGGATTTTTCTGTGTGGAAGCAATGGACAGGGGCAGGAGGGAATGCAAGAGGTAGTTAGGATAAAGTGTAAGTTTTCATATAATCTAGAATGAACAAAAATATTTGTATTTTATTATTATAAATTAAAACTAATGATGAACTTTAAATAATATAAAATAAAATATTTGTGCATGCATATATAACGGCTAAAATCGAAGATCATGGGTTTATGTGTCAATTATTCATGTTAAACACTTGATCCTTATTTTTCCACTTTTTATTTATTACAATTAATTACTTTGTATCCCAGATATAGTTCCCTCCCTCTTCCCATCTCACTCCTGCCCTCCATCTTATATTCCCTTGCCCCTTCCCTAGTCCACATAGGGGCAACCCTCCTCCCCTTCCATCTGACCTTAGCCTATCAGGTCTCATCAGGACTGGTTGCAATGTCCTCCTCTGTGGCCTAGCAAGGCTGCTTCTACCTAGGGGGTGGGGGTCAAAGAGCCCACTACTGAATTCATGTCAGAGACAGTCCCTGTTCCCCTTACTAGGAGACCCACTTGGAGACTGAGCTGCCACGGGCTACATCTGTGTAGGGGTTCTAGGTTATCTTCATGCATGGTCCTTGGTTGGAGTATCAGTCTCAGAAAATATCCCTGGGCCCAGACTTATTGATTCCATTGCTCTTTTTGTGGAAGTCCTGTACCCTCATGGTGTTTCTATCTTATCATTCTTCCATAAAATTTACTGCACTCTACTTAAAGTTTGGCTATGAGTCTCAGCATCTGCATTAATACCATGCTGGGTAGAGTCTTTCAGAGGCCGTCTGTTATAGGCTCCTGTCTCATTCCCTGTTGTCTCCCTCTTATAATGTCTATCCCATTTGTCTTTCTGAATGAGGTTTGAGCATCTTACCTACAGTCCTCCTTCTTGCTTAGCTTCTTTAGGTGTACAGATTTTAGTACGTTTATCCTATATTATATGTCTGATATCTACTTATGAGTGAGTGTATACCATGCGTGTCTTTCTGCTTCTGGGATACCTCACTCAGGATGATTTTTTTTTTCTAATTCCCAACATTTGCCTGCAGATTTCATTCCTTGTTTTTAATTGCTGAGTAGTATTCCATTGTGTAAATGTACCATTATTCTGTATCTGTTCCTCAACTGAGGGACATCTGGGTTGTTTTCAGATTCTGGCTATTACAAATAAAGCTGCTACAAACATGGTTGTACAAATGTCCTTGTTGTATACTTGAGCATCTTTTGGATATACACCTATGAATGGTATAGCTCTATATTGAGGAAGCACTATTCCTAATTTTCTGAGAAAGTGCCAGATTGTTTTCCAAAGAGGTTTTACAAGTTTACATTCTCACCAAAAATGGAGGAGGATTCCCCTTTCTCCACAACCTCTCCAGCATGTTGTCACTTGAATTTTTGATCTTAGCCATTCTGATGGGTATAAGGTGAAATCTCAGGGTCATTTTGATTTTCATTTCCCTGATGGCTAAGAATGTTGAGCATTTCTTTAAGTGTTTTTCTGCCATTTGCTAACCTTCTATTGAGAATTCTCTGTTTATCTCTGTACTCCATTTTTTAATTGAATTACTTGATTTGTTGCTATTTAACTTCTTGAGTTATTTATATATTCTGGACATTAGCTCTCTGTCAGATACAGGGTTGGTGAAGATCCTTTCCCAATCTGTATGCTGTTGTTTTGTTCTGAAGACAGTGTCCTTTGCTTTACAGAAGCTTTTCAGTTTCACAAGGGCCCATTTGTTGATTGTTGATCTTAGAGGCTGTGCTGTTGGTATTCTGTTCAGGAAGTTGTCTCCTGTGCCAACAAATTCAAGGCACTTCCTCACTTTTTCTTCTAACAGATTTAGTGTGTCTGGT